GACATGATTGTCTAAGTGGAAACCCCCAGTAACCTACAAAAAGACTCCTAGAATAAATGAGTTCAGTAAGATCACAGGATACAAGATAAACATAAAAAAAAAAATATTTCTATATACTAACAGCGAGTACATGGACACTAAAATTGAAAACACACTACCATTTATAATCACTCAAAAAAACAACACACTGTGTTCACGGACTGGAGACTCAAAACAGTAAAATTGTCAATTTTGCCCCAAATTGATATACAGGGTTTAATGTAATTTCTATCAAAATCTCAACAAGATTTTTAAAATGAGTATCGACAAAATTGTTCTAAAATGTATATGGAAGGGCAAAGGGATTAGAATAGCTAAAGCACTACAAAAAGATGAAAAAAATAAGAAGAATCAGTCTATCCAATTTTAAGACTTATTATATCATTATAGTAATCAAAACTGTGTAGAATTGGTGAAGGGACAGACACAAAGATCAATGAGACAGTATAGAGAATGCAGAGATAAACTCACACAACTATGCCCAGTTGATATTTGACAAAGGAGCAAAAGCAACTGAACAGAGGAAAGACAGCCTTTTCAACAAATGCTGCTAGAGCAAGTGAATATCCATTGGCAACAAAAAAGAACCTTGCCTAGTCTCACACCTTATGTATGTAAAAAATGAACTCAAAATGCATCATGGATTTAAAAACATAAAACGTAAAGCTATGAAGATTATAGACATGAACACAGGAGAAAAATCTTTGGGACTCAAGCACAAGCACAAAAAGAAAAATGGATAAGCTGGACTTCATCAAAATTAAAAACTTCCGCTCTGCGAGAGACTGTTAAGAGAATGAAAAGGCAAGCTACAGCCTGGGAGAAGATATTTGCTAACTACATACCCAACGAAGGACTAGTATCCAGAATATACAAAGAACTCTCAAAACTCAATAGTTAAAATGAAAACAAAAACAAACACACACACAATTCAATTAGAAAATGGACAAAAAACATGAGAGAGATATTTCACCTCAGGAGATACAGAGTGCAAACAAGCACATGAAAAGATGTTCAACATCATTAGCCATTAGGGAAATGCAAATTAAAATCACAATGAGATATCACTACACACCTATTAGAATGGCTCAAATAAAAAACAGTGACAACACCAAATGCTGGGAAGGATGCAGAGAAATAGGATCACTCATACACTGCTGGTGGGAATGTAAAATGGTACAGCCATTCTGGAAAAAACCGGGTAGTTTCTTAAAAAATTAAACATACAAGTACCATATGACCCAGCAATTACACTCCTGTATCTGAATGTTGATACAGTATTCATAATAGCCAAAAACTGGAAACAACCCAGCTATTCTTTTTTTTTTCTTTCATAATCGGTATTTTATTGGTTGTTTTGAGGATCAGTACAGAGACATTATGAACAATCTGTACACAACTCTTAATGTACGTACCAAAAATCTAAAAAGCCATGTGTAGTTACAATTTTCTAAATTCCACCTTTAAATTTGGAGGAAATTTTCCTTAAGAGAGTATCAAGTGACCAATTATCTTCAATTGTTGATAAGCTGTTGCAACAGAAGTCCCACTAATTCACAATTTAATACCACACACACTACACACTCAAATGTTCAACCTTCCACAGCACATAACAAAACTGTGAGGAAAACTGGACTACCATGAGCAAAGATGCTACAGAACACACAGTGCTGACAAGCAGAGCCATGACGAAGGAGCAGTTTTCTTTAGGAAACAATTCTACTAAAAAACATGGAAATACAAGTAATTTTAAATGTTCACAAGACATATAAACGCATTACTGCAACTCCGAACTGCCATTAAGTATGCTTTGTATTACGGGATATAAAAATTGCCCCCCACCTATGGAATGTTACGTTGACACCCAAGACCGTCAAAAGCCCCCCACAATTCAACATCCCACTATTTTCTGGTTGTACCAAAAAATAAACAACCAGAAAATGATTTTTTACCTCTTAAAAAAAACCATTTACACTTAAAAAATGGAATGAAGTGGGATTTCCCTCTTCTTAAAAATGTTTCTAGAGCTACTAAAAAACTTGCATTTACAAAATAGTTGATAAAAATATTCCTCTGGATGGTACAAGAAGGGAGATGCAGGGACCACTGATAAGACATTGTAGACAAACATTAATCAGACTTGGCTTCTTTCTCTCATGCTTCATCAGAGACTGGACTCTCCTCGTTTTTAGTTTCTCCATTTTCTGCAGGTAAATCTTTAGCTTCCTGGCTAGCCACTTCAGCATGTTTTCCTTTTGCTCCTCTTTTCCCTTTTGTTTGCACTTTTTTATCTGAAAGATTTATCCTTTCCTGCTGCCTTTTTTGGATTCGTTTCCACTTTTGCAGGAGCAGATTTAGCTGACAACCTCGCCGATCTCCTCCTGGGCTCCTCCTTCACTGCCCCTTCAGCTGAGCTGACCTTCCTCTTGGGCATCTTGGTGGCAGGAAGGGCACGTGCCGGGTACCTGTGGGCCGCGGCGCACGGAAAGCCTTCGTGAAGCTGGGCTGCCTGGCCTCTGCTGCTCCACCCGCCCCAGATATTCTTTAATAGTTAAATAGTTAAACTGTGGTAAATCCAAAACAGAGACTACTACTCAGCAATAAAAAGGATTGAACCACTGATAGACACAACACCCTGAATCTCCAGAGAATTTTGCTGAGTAAAAACAGCCAATCCCAACTAGATAACTGGGAGCTCCTAAAAATCAAACACTTTGCTCATCAAAAGTCTTCACCAAAAGAGTCAAAAGACAACCTACAGACTGGGAAAAAACCTGGCTATGACAAATCTGATCAGGGTCTAATCTCTAAAATCTACAAGATACTGCAAAACCTCAAGAACAAAAAGATAAATAACCCAATTGAAAAATGGGCAAAGGACATGAACAGGCACTTCACCAAAGAAGACATTCAGACGAGATCGGGCGCTTTCAGGGTGGTATGGCCGTAGACCAAAGAAGACATTCAGGCAGCTAACGGATACATGAGGAAATGCTCACGATCATTAGCCACTAGAGAAGTGCAAATCAAAATTACAATGAGATACCATCTCACCCCAACGAGGCTAGCATTAATCCAAAAAACACAAAATAGTAAATGTCGGAGACGTTGTGGAGCGACTGTAACACTTATACACTGCTGGTGGGAATGTAAAATGCAACAAACACTTTGGAAATCAATTTGGCGCTTCCTTAAAAAGCTAGAAATAGAAATACCACACGATCCAGCAATCCCACTCCTTGGAATATATCCTAGAGAAATAAGAGTCATCACATGAATAGATATATGCACACTCATGTTCACTGCAGCACTGTTCACAACAGCAAAGAGATTGAAACAACGTAGGTGCCCATCAATGGATGAATGGATAAACAAATTATGCTATATTCACACGATGGAATACTATGCAACAATAAAGAACAATGATGAATCTGCGAAATATTTCATAACATGGATGAATCTGGAAGGTATTATACTGAGCAAATGTAGTCAGTCACAAAAGGACAAAGATTGTATAAGACCACTATTATAAGAATTCAAGAAAAGGTTTAAACACAGAAGAAAACATTCTTTGATGGCTACAAGGGTGGGGACGGGGGGAGAGGGGTATTCATTAACTAGATAGCAGACAAGAATTATCTTACGTGAACAGAAGGACAACATACACTACAGGGGAAGTCAGGACAACTGGACTAAATCAAAAGCTAAGAGGTTTCCTGAATACAACCAAACACTTCGAGGGACAGAGTAACAGGAGCCGGGGTCTGGGGACCATAGTTTCGGGGGACATCTAGGTCAATTGGCATAATAAAGTTTATTAAGAAAATGTTCTGTATCCCACTTTCGTGAGTGGCGTCCGGTGTCTTAAAAGCTAGCAAGCGGCCATCTAAGAGGCATCAATTGGTCCCAACTCACCTGGAGTAAAGGAGAACAAAGAACACCAAAGACACAAGGAAAATATTAGCCCAGGAGACAGAAATGGCCACATAAACCCGAGACTTCATCAGCCTGAGACCAGAAGAGCTAGATGGTGCCCGGCTACCACCAATGACCACACTGACAAGGAACACAACAGAGTCCATGATGGAGCAGGAGAAAAGTGGGGTGCAGAACTCATATTCTAGTAAAAAGACCAGACTCAATGGTTTGACTGAGACTGGAGGGACCCCGGAAGACATGGCCTCCAGACTCTCTGTTGGCCCAGAACTAAAACCATTCCCGAGGCCAACTCTTCAGACAAAGATTAGACTGGACCATGGGACGTAAAATGATACTTATGAAGAGTGTGCTTCTTAGCTCAAGTAGATACATGAGACTAAATGGGCAGCTCCTGTCCAGAGGCGAGATGAGAAGAAGAAAGGGACAGGGGCTGGCTGAACGGACACAGGAAATCTGGGATGTCACAGTATAGGGAAAGCAATTAGGGTCACATAACAATGTGTGTATAAATTTTTGCACGAGAAACTAACCTGAATTGTAAATTTCACTTAAGCACAATTGAAAAAAAAAGCCAATGCCAAAGGATCACATACTGTATGATTCCATTCATATAACATTCTTGAAATGACAAAATTATAGAAATGAAGAACAAATTAGTAGTTGCCAGGAGCAAGGAGGGAGGGAAATGGGTGTGGCTATAAATGGGTAACACAAGGACCCTTGTGGTGATGGAAACATTCTGTATCTTGACTATATCAATATTATGGCTCTAATAACGTACTATAGTTCTGCAAGACGTTACCACTGGGGGAAATAGTGGTATTATTTCTTACAAATGCTTGTGAATACATGATTATCTCAAAATAAAAAGGCTAAGTTTAAAAAAAGATTCTCACTTCCCCCGGTTTTTAGGAAAGCTCTTTGCAGCTGCAGGTGAATATACACAAATATACACACTTTAACTATGATGGGAAGAAGCGAAAGATTTGGACCTAGTACCAAAACACCCCAATCCAACGTACCTGCTTCACTTTGACTGCTGAGTGGTGAGGACTTCTGCTTCTCTTACTCCGTGGAGACTTGCTTCTTCTCCCTGAGGACTTGCTTTTCTTTCTGGCTGGGGACCTTTTCAGAGCATGGTACACTCAGGATTTTATCTCAACATCCCTTCCCCCATATAAATTAGCTTCAAGGATCAGGCTTGCCTACCAACAGAAACACCACACCTGTGAAGCAGTCTACTAATGACAGAAACTAGGAGTCAGAAGCTTCACTTTCCTAGCCCTAACATCTCCCTTGAGTTCCAGATCGACATATATAACTGCCTACTGGACTTTCTCAATTACATAACAAAAGTCTTGACTCCCAACCCCTTGACCTTTCCTCTCCCAATCCTTGCCATTTTGGTAACTGGCACTATCCAGTCTCTTTTTCAAACCAAAAACCTAGAAGTCACCCTTGATTCTTTCTTCCCTCACCATCAATACCTCCCCCTCCACTATACACACACAATTACATTCAACCCATCAGCAAGCCCTGAGGCTCTATCTCCTCTCCCTCCCCCCACCACATTCCTATCACCCTCCTTTTTGATCACTACACTCCATCCACATTGTGCTTTTTTCGATGTCTAAAACAATCATTGCACATGTTGTTTCTTCTGCCTGGATTGTTACAAGGCTGGATTATTCTCTTTGTTCAGGTCTCAGCTCAAATGGCATCTCTTCAGAGAAGCCTTCTCCCACTTTTTTCCAATCTCTCACTATCGTATTACTGTACTGTTTTAACCTACCCCTAATACTTATTACTAACTGAAACTATTTTATTTATTTGTTTGTTATTGTCAGTTCCAGAGCTAGAACACATAAATTCCATGAGAGTAAAGACCATTTATCTTGTTCACCCTTGTGGCCCCCATAGCTAGAACAGTCTTTGGCACATAAATAACAACAACCCATTGCTGTCGAGTCGATTCTGACTCGTAGCGACCCTACCGGACAGAAAAGAACTGCCCCATAGAATTTTCAAGGCTGTAATCTTTATGGAAGCAGGGTGCCACATCTTTCTCCTGTGGAGCTGCTGGTGGGCTGACCTTTTGGTTAGCAGCCGACCTCTTAACCACTGTGCCTGCCACCAGGGCTCCTTCTCTGGCACACGTTGCTGCTGCTGTTAGGTGCCACTGAGTTGGTTCTGGCTCACGGTGACCCTATGTACAACAGAATGAAACATTGCCTGGTCCTGCACCATCCTCACAATTGTTGCTATGTTTGAGCCCCTTGTTGAAAGTCTTTCTCTTTTTCCCCTGACCCTCTACTTTACCAAGCATGATGTCCTTCTCCAGGGACTGGTCCCTCCTGATAACATGTCTAAAGTACATGAAACAAAGTTTCACCATCCTCACTTTCAAGGAGCACTCTGGCTGTACTTCTTCCAAGACAGACAACTGTCCAAGACAGTTATTGGTTCGAGGAAAAGGCTGGATAGTACCAGTTACCGAGACAGCACATAGTACGTGCTAAATAATGTTGAACGAATGAATAAATCAATGAGTCTACCAAGAGATAAAATTTTTTCAGAGTTTCTATCAGGTAGATTTCCTAGGCCCTCCTAGTGGACACCTTTTGGGGCAGGTACATAACTGGAAAGAGAACGCCCAAACCTGGCTTAGCAGCCAAACGGGGAAAATCTTTCATTTTAATTGAACAAACGATTAACGGTATCGGATAGGCCATACCCTGCTAGATGCTAGGGACACAGAGATGAAGGGGCGGAACTCTGCCCACTAGGGCTTAACGCCCAGCTATAAAGCAATTAGAGGTCCCGGAGTAAACCTTTGGAAACCCTGGTGGCGTAGTGGTTAAGACTTCGGCTGCTAACCAAAAGATTAGCAGTTCGAATCCACCAGGCGCTCCTTGGAAACCCTATGGAGCAGTTCTATTCTGCGCTATGTTCTACTCTGCGCTATAAGGTCGCTATGAGTCGGAAGACTCGACCGCAATGAGGGTGTTTTTTTTTTTTTTTTTTTTTGGAATAAACCTGTAAGCGTCACTACCACCGCGTCCAGCATAAAGTCCAAACTGCTGAGTCCAGCATCCAAGATCTGTTTCTGACACTAGCCTGTTCTTCCATCTCAATGAGCAGACCCAAGATCCATCCCAGGCTGCTCCCCACTTACCGGCTGCTTCCGCGGCTTCGGTTCCCGCGGTGACCAGGGCGGCCCGGCTCGCCAGCCGGCGAGGACGGGCTATGGCCGGAGGAGTCGGGGCGGCGGTGTGAAGGAGGGACGGTTTCAGGGCTGAGGCGCTCCTGCTTCACCACCACCGTCGCCGCCGCCACCATGTCCCCGTCTCGGTGCCTTCGCCGGCTTCCCCGTTCCTGCTCGCTCTTCACCTCCTTCATCCCGCGATCCTGGCTGACGAAAAGAACAGATCCTCTCACCTCCGCTCGCTGAAGGAACTGATGCAGCTGACCCGCGGATTTCCGCTTCCGGGTTACACGCTCTCCCAGAAACCCTCGCGGCGGAAGGGCTGAGCACGTACGTGACAGCCGCTCCCTAGTGGGTGGAGCCGTAGTGACTGGCTCGGAAGGCGGGAGTTTTAAGTTTCAAAAATAAGTATCTGGGAAAAGCTGCACTCTCATGGCTGGTGCCACGTTATTAATCATTACAAAACACAGATACGACCTAAATGTCCAGCAGTAGGGAATTGTTTAGCTAATTGATGGCATGTTACATCGCCATTAGCAGTGCTATTTACAAACTCTATACGGCAAATGGGGACCTGGTGGCGCAGTGGTTAAGAAGTCGGCTACTAAACAAACGGTCAGCAGTTCGAATCCACCAGCCGCTCTTTGGTAAACTCTATGGTGCAGTTCTACTCTGTCCTATAAGGTAGCTATGAGTCGGAATCGATTCCACAGCAACAAGTTTTTTTTTTTTTTTTCCAATGGCAAATGGGAGGAAAAAAAAAAAAAACACAGACTCGCTTAAATGAAAAAAAGCAGGATACAAAATTGTGCGCATACTGATTACATTTAAGGTTAGAAACATGTGAAGGAAAGAAGAGAAGGAAACGCAGTCATAGTGGACCATGGGCAAATCATTTTTCGTTTATTTCCGGAATTTTCTGCAATACTATCATTTCTCAGTTTAATTAAAAAAAAAAAAAAACTGGGAAACTCCACAGGTCTTCCTTTGGGAATCTTCCTCAACCCTTCAATGAGGAGTCAGGAGACGACTTCCATTTTGCAGGTGACAAAATTGAGGCTCAACGAAAGTAACATGCCCATTCAAATCGAAAGCTAGAAGCAGCGCAGGGACTTGAATCCACGCTTTCCCTGCTTCCGAAAGTCCCGGAGCGACCTCATGAACAGGAAACCCAAGAAGCCAAGCGCTAGGAGAACTTTTCTCCAAGGCAGCGCTGAAAAGAAAACTCACGCTCCGCTGGCCCCGCCCCACTCCGAAGCCCCGCCCAGGCCATGCCGCTGGGAAAGGAGGTTTCCATGGTGACGAGAAACAAGGCCCAGCCTGGAGGGGCCGGTTCTGGGCTACTACCCCCGCGGCCGCCATGATTCCGCCCGCGGACTCGCTGCTCAAATACGACACCCCGGTGCTGGTGAGCCGGAACACAGAGAAACGGAGCCCCAAAGTAAGGACGGGTCCCGGGGTTGGGAGGGCAAGAGGAAGCCCAGAAGCTCCGATGGGGAAAGGCAGATCCCTGCTTCGAGGGTCGGGAAACCAGAGGGACAGGGAATTGGAACCGGGCAGGGGGGAGGTAGGATGGGAGAAGGTACGAGAAGCCCAGACCTTGGGTGTGACCCTAGAGGGCAGATTTAGGATGGAGAAGGAAGTCACAGGGACATAGATGGGACTCACTCTTTCAAGGTAGCCAGGTCCAAGAATAGATGAGGTAGTGATTTCCCCATCACTAGAGGTGTGAAAGCAGAGGCCTGATCACTATTGCCAGAAACGTTGTTCAAGGGGACACAAGCATTGGGTTGGGGTGGGACTAGAAGCTCTTCATGGCCTCCTTCAGCTCTGAGACATGGCTTCTGCTGAGAAGACAGAAGGTGAAAGTGAGCTGGGAATAGGGGAGTAATGTGCAGGAGACACAATCTAGGGGCTAGGACATATGGATCTGAGTGCCTAACTTACCTCTTGCCCTAACCTGTCCCTTCTTCTCAGGCTCGGCCACTGAAGGTCAGCCCCCAGCAACCTGGACCCTTGGGTCCAGTCCCACAGCCACCAAAGACCAAGGTCGCCTCAACTTCCTGTGTCCCAGACCCTACAAAGCAGGCAGAAGAAATCTTGAATGCCATCCTGCCCCCAAGGTAAAAAGTAGGAGCCGTGCCTAGGAGAAGGCCTAGGCTTTTGGATCCCAGAACCTGAGAATGTGGGGAGAGGCACCATGCATCTGTTCCTGGCTGGGGTTTTCCCAGCATTTCAGAGCTCCTAGAGCTTGCAGATGACTGGATCCTGGAAGGGTGGGGGGAGACCTCTTCTCTATCCACCCTCATTTTCTGAGTGCTCTCACTCAGTCTCATGGCTTTAAGGAGGCTTGGTGGTGCAGTTGTTAAGCACTCGGCTGCTAACCGAAAGGTTGGTAGTTCGAACCCACCAGCCACTCTTCAGAAGAAAGATGTGGCAATCTGCTTCCATAAAGATTGAAAGCCTTGGAAACCCTATAGGACAGTTCTACTCTGTCCTATAGAGTCCCTATGAGTTGGAATAGACTCTACGGCAGTGGGTTTTTCATTTGGTTCTGTGCTGATGAGGAATCCTTGGGTGGTGCAAATGGTTAATACCCTTGGCTTCTAACCAAAAGTTTGGAGGTTCAGGTCCACCCAGAGGCACTGATGATCTACTTCTGAAAAATCAGCCATTGAAAACCCTATGGAGCACAGTTCTACTCTTGACACACAGGGCATCGCCTTGAGTCAGGTTAACTCAACGGCAACTGGTGGTGGTAGTGGATATGCTGATAAGGCATTGGTGCTTCAGTGGTAGAATTCTTACTTTCCACATGGGAGACCTGAGTTCAATTCCCAGCCAGTGCACCTCATGTGCAGCCACCACCCATCTGTCCGTGGTGTCTTGTCTGTTGCTGTGATGCTGAACAGGTTTCAGTGGAGCTTCCAGACCAAGATGGACTAGGAAGAAAGATCTGATGATCTACTTCTGAAACTCAGCCAGTGAAAACCCTATGGATCACAATGGTCCAGTCTGCAGCTGATCATGGGGATGGTACAGGACCAAGCAGCGTTTAGTTCCGTTGTGTGTGGGGTTGCCATAAGTCCGGGGCCTGACTCCATGGCAGCCTACGACAATAGCAATATGCCAATGACTCCCAAATGTGTATTTCCAGCCCTGTTTTTCCCCTAAACTTCAGACCCACATGTTCTGCTACTTCCTCATTATCTTCAACTAAACATGTTCGAACTAAGTCGCAATTTCTTCCTTCCTCAACCTGCTCATCCCCCGTCTTCCCCTTCTCAGTAAACTGTAACTCCTTTACTAGCTGCTCAGGCCACCTTTCATTCCTCTACATCTCTCTCACTGCATGTCTGATCCCTCATCAAATTCTTTGGCTCTACCTTCAAATTATATCCCATATCTGACCACTTTCACCACCTCTGCCGCCATCATTTTGTTCCAAGTCAATGTTCCTCACCTGCAGTACTGCAATGGCGTCCTAACTGGAAACCTTTCTTGCACTCTCTGCCCCTACAGTCTGTTCTCCACCCCTAAATCATAAGTCCGATCAGGCCAGTCTTCTGCCAGAAGCCCTCTAGTGACTTCTCATGTCACTTAGACTAAAATCCAAAGTCCTTACCATGGCTTGGAAGACCTGGCATGATCTGGCCCATGATACACTGATAATTTTATCTTCGATTGCTGTTCTTCTTGTTCACTGTGCTCAAGCCACATGGCCTCCACTTGCCGTTTCTTCGTGTCTTTTTTTGGTGGCAATGTAACAATCAAACATACATGTGTTCATGATTTCTACATGTACAATTCAATGACATTGGTTACATATTTCACATTGTGTACCACTCTCACTGTCTTTACCCATATTGTTTTATCACCATTAATTTAGACTCTCTGCCCCTTAAAGTTCTCATCTGTGCTTTAGATTAACGTGTCAATTTGAACCCATATAAATACTTCTTTATAAAAACACAGTGCTCAAGGCAAACACTCTTTATTAATTGAGTTAAATGGTTGTTTAGTTTAATGATGGCTTCATGAGATAGTTTTTTAGTTCAAGGTTTAAAGATTATTTGTAGGCAATAGATTCGGGGGTGTCATGAATTGAATTGTGTCCCCCAGAAATAGGTGTCGATTTAGTTAGGCCGTGATTCCCAGTATTGTGTGGTTGTCTTCCATTTTGTAATTGATACAATTTTCCCTGTATATTGTAAATCCTAATCTCTGCCTGTGGTTAACGAGGCAAGATTGGATTATGTTGAAGAGGATTAGGGTGGGATGTAACACCCTTGCTCAGATCACATCCCTGATCCAATGTAAAGGGAGTTTCCCTGGGGTGTGGCCTCCACCACCTTTTATTTCTCAAGAGACAAAAGGGAAGTGAGCAGAAGAGGGGGAGAAGGACCTCATACCACCAAGAAAGCAGCGCCTGGAGCAGAGCGCATCCTTTGGACCTGAGGTTCCTTCACAGAGAAGCTCCTAGACCAGGGGAAGATTGATGCCAAGGACTTTCCTCCAGAGCCAACAGAGAGAGAAAGGCTTCCCCTGGAGCTGACAACCTGAATTTGGACTTGTAGCCTATTAGACTGTGAGAGAATAAATTTCTGTTTGTTAAAGCCATCCACTTGTGGTATTTCTGTTAAAGCAGCACTAGATAACTAAGGGAGTTTCCCCAGTCTCAATGGATCCAGTAAGTCTGGTTTCCATATGAATTTAAAGTTTTCTTCCACGCTTGTCTTCCTTTTGATCAGGATCCATCTATTGGGTCCTTGATCAAAACATTCAGTAATGGTACCTGGGCACCATCCATTTCTTCTGGTCTCATGGCAAAGGAGGTAGTAGTTCATGGAGGCAATTGGACCGGTAGTCCATTTACTTCACTGATTCCTGGATCTCCTTCTTCCTCTGCTGCTCCAGGCAAATAGAGACCAATTGTTGTATCTTGGGGGCCGCTCGCACTCCACTTGCTGCTTCTGAAACACATCCATCACTCTCCCACCTCAGGGCTTTGACATTGCTGTTCTCACTGCCATGAATGCTCTTCTCCTGATATCCCCATAATTCCTTCCATTTCTTTACCTGGCTCAAATGTCATTTCCTCAATGAGGCCTTCCTTGAGAATCCTGTATAAAAGAGCTCCCCCTCGCCAACACGCTCTCTTACCCTGCTTTATTCTTCTGCAACCGTATTTATCACCACCTGACATGTAACTATTGGTTTGTGGTCTGTCTCTCCTTACTGCTGGAATATAAGCTCCATGAGAATAGGGATTTGGCTGTATCCCTAATGCATGTAGAGTCAGCATTCAGAAAATATTTGCTGAATGAAAGAATGAACTTGGGACTCTCAGCACACCAGAAGGCAAGCCATTTCAAATTGTGGGAGTCACTTCATTGAAAGTAGTTCCTTCAAAAACACCTTTGGCTTGAGAAAGATGAACCTCAGCAAATCTCCTCCAGTGATAATTGCAAATAGATAAAGCATCTCTGAATTATTTCAGAGGTTTCTGTAAAAGTTTGATTCCACTTATAGAAGTTAGGTTTACAAGCCATTTGCCTAGTCAGGTGTTCACATCCACCCAGAGCTCTTATCACCAAGACACGAGAAGAAAGAGGCAGAGGGATAAGTACCAGCAATTAAATGCTTCCATCCACAAGTGACATGCAACACTGCTGCTTCACCTTTTATTGGCTAAATCAAATCACATGGCCATATCAGACTACAGAGGGGAGTGCAGTCATCCTGTGTCCTGGAAGGAGAGAACACTGGTATTGTGTGCCATAGCTAAAGAGGCAAAGCTGGACTCCAAGTCCAAATCTCTTAGAATCCTTATCCCACGAGGCAGATCTGGAAGCCTACATGTATCCTTTTCAGGCATACAGATTTTGGACCCCTGCAATGGGCTTCTAGCTTTGCAGGTGAATGTTCTAGTTTGGGAATAAATATCAACTTTTTTCTTTTATTATGCTGTGTCCTCTCTCAAATTCAGTACATGAGTTATTCACTGCTTACCATAAACGAGACATTATGCTGTGTATGAAATTCTAATTTAGACAAAATCTTACCCTCAAGTTGCTCAGAGTCTGACAGGACAGACAAGGTAAGGTCCTACAGGAGAGCTTGGCAGGAGTGTCCTGGAAGTTGCCTTGGGTGAAGTGATGCACAGAAGGGTCATCTGCTTGGTGGAGGGTCAGGAAAGAGCTGGTTGTGAAGCAGGGAAAGGAGTTTATCAGGCAAATGAGGAAGGTGAGAACATTCCAGGCACAGGGAACAGCATATGCAAGGCGAACAGGGAGGATGAGAGGGCATGATCAGAACTGAGACTGAGTAGACAAGCAGGGACTTCAATTGCAAAGGGCACCTGTAGGCCCATTTATTCAATGAAATTGTGGTACAGAATCAGTCCCAGCATTAAAAAAAAATAGGATAGGACAGAATATAATATAGAAGATGACAGTGTATCCCATGCTGACGGTAAACTTTGTTTCCTGAAGCCTATTTCAGGTGTGTGTGTGTGTGTGTGTGTGTGTGTGTTCGCGCGCGCATTTGCGTCTATACAGGATCATGATGTAACCTTTAATTTTTACTGTAGATCACAGTTAAAATGTATGAACGCTACTGCTGTAAAAACAGGGAACCCTTGAAGAGATTTTATCAGGAGAGGGTTGCCATCAAATTTGTACCTTAGAAAGGGCACTGTGGTGTAGTATGGAGTGGCTGGAGGTAAGACTATCAGGTCCAGAGGGAAGGTGATGAGGTTTTGACCAATACTGGCAAGAGCCACCCAAATTTAGGGGACTTATTCAGCCCATACTGATGAGGGCTCCTGTGGCTCAGCAGAGGTCAGCAAGGTGGCCATGCCACTGCCACACAGTCTTAGCTTTCCAGTGAGACTGATATCCAGGCAGCCAAAGGCATACCCAGAGGGAGGCCAACCTACATCTGAAGTGTAACTGGCGTGGGGCACGTTGAGCCATCTGAGCACAACCTCAAAAACTATACCTTTTCGACTCTTTTTAATATGTTGATGGCACAGTTTTTAACGCTATGATAAAAAGCTGTTGTTGTAGTTAGTTGCTGTGGATTTGATTCCTACTCATGGCAACCCCATGTGTGCAGAGTAGTACTGCTCCATAGGGTTTTCAAGGCTGTGACCTTTCAGAAGTAGATCACCAGGCCTGTCTTCTGAGGGTCCTCTAGGTGGGTTCAAACCACCAACTTTTCAGCTAGGAGTCAAGTGCTTAAGTGTTTGTGCCACCCAGAGACTGATGAAAAGGGGAAACAGTAAAAGAGAGACTGTGATCTCATCAGAGGTGGAGCCAGAGGAGGCGGTGATTTTCCACTTGATTTCCTTCCATCAGTGGCACAGAAGTCCTCTCCTTATGGTGGTTCTACCCTCAGGCTCTCCTGATTCCAGAGCCTGGCCATGCCTCTGGTCCAGGGTTATTATGGGGGACCTTGTGCAGGCACACACCTTCAAGTACCCCCCCCCAATCCCCAAGACTCACATTTGCCCTTCCTGGCTTGCACAAGTTCTGTGGTGTCCTGAATCTCTCACCTCACAAGCCAGTGGGGAATTCCCACTGAGCCTCCTGTTCAGATAAAGCAACAGTGCCCATAAATCTCTCCTCAGCACATGAGGAGGGTATGATCTGGAAGAGTGGGTGATGATTTCATGGAGGGCCCTTGAGGAATGCAGATTGGTCCTACACCCAGCTCCAAGGTAGGGTCCTTGGGGTGGCAGCAGAGTAGGTGTGGCTTTGGAGCTGCATACCCTCCAAGGGAGATCCAGGTGGGTCCCCTCCCTCCTGTGCAGGCAAACTGCTCAAAGGGCCTCTCTGCTCTTGTCCAGAGGGCCCCCTCAGTTTGGTGGGTTTCACTTAGCCAGGCTGTGTCTGTGCTGCAGGGAGTGGGTAGAAGACACTCAGCTATGGATCCAGCAAGTGTCCAGCACCCCCAGCACCAGGATGGATGTGGTGCATCTCCAGGAGCAGCTGGACCTGAAGCTGCAGCAGCGGCAGGCCCGGGAGACAGGCATCTGCCCTGTCCGCAGGGAGCTCTATTCGCAGTGCTTTGGTGAGTGGACAGGGCAGGGGGCGGGGTGGGTGCCCTCCACATCTTACTGCCTCCTTCCCTTCTGCTTCAGCAAGGATCTAAAGCCAAGTACCCCTGTGCTGAAGCCCACCCCTGTTGGAATCATCTCTTCTCCCTGTGCCTGACCCACCCAAGAACTGCTAAATGTGCCGTCTTCCCCCTCCCCGCCCTGCCTCTGCTATCAGTCCCCTGCCTGCCAGTCACTATCTTCCTGGCAACTTGGGTTCCTCACCCCTTAGCAGATTTTGGAGTAAGATAAGAACTTTTGGGTGGAAATATATATATTCCATTTTAAATCTTTGTTTTTTTTCAATGTTTCTATAAGCATGTGTTAATGTCTTAATCAGAAAAATGTATGTTCTATATTTATATATATCCATCAACATTTGGCCCTCAGTCCAGAAAAATATTGTAGGATAATTTGTTGTTAATAGACAGTGATTTAAGATCTACCTCCTCAAGGGCTGATATCAAGGACTGTCCCCCAGCCCAATCTCACTGGTATGTGGCCTCTGCTCTGCAAACTACCTCCCAAGCCACAGGCAGCTGCAGTCAGCTGGCTCCCCTGAGTCTGAGTCTGACTATCGCTGGCCCTCAAGGTCAGTATTTACAGAGGAGAAGGGTGGGCAAGCTATGTTGGTGTTGGTAGTTGCTGTCAACTGATTCCGATTCATGGCAACCCCATGTGTGCAGAGTAGAACTGCCCTCCATAGGGTTTTCAAGGCTGTGACCTTTCAGAAGTAGATCACCAGGACTGTCTTCCAAGGTGCCTCTAGGTGGGTTTGCACCGCCAACCTTTTGGCTAGTAGTCAAGCGCTTAACCATTTACACCACTCAGGGACTCCTGAGGTCAAGCTCTTGTTGTTGTTGTTAGGTGCCATCAAGTCAGTTCTGACTCATAGCAACCCTAGGTACAACAGAATGAAACATTACCCGGTCCTGTGCCATCCTCACAATGGCTGCTATGTTTGAGCCCATTGTTGCAGTCACTGTGCCAATCCATTTCGTTGAGGGTCTTTCTCTTTTTTGCTGACCTCCTACTTTACCAAGCATGATGTCCCTCTCCAGGGACTGGTCCCACCTGATAAAATATCCAAAGTACCTGAGATGAAGTCTCGCAACCCTTGCTTCTAAGGAGCATTCTGGCTGTACTTCCAAAACAAACTTGTTCCTTCTTTCGGTAGTCGAGTGTATATTCAGTATTCTTTGCCAACACTGTAATTCAAATGCATCAATTCTTCTTCAGTCTTCCTTACTCATTGTTCAGCTTTTGCATGCATATGAGATGATTGAAAATACCATGGCTTGGTTCAGACCTTAGCCCTCAAAGTGACATCTTTGCTTTTTAACACTTTAAAGAGTTTTTTGCGGCAGATTTGCCCAATGCAATACATCGTTTGATGTCTTGACTGCTGCTTCCATGGGCATTGATTGTGGGTCCAAGTAAAACGAAATCCTTAACAACTTCAATATTTTCTGTGTATCATGATGTTGCTTATTGGTTCAGTCATGAGGATTTTTGTTTTCTTTATGTTGAGGTATAATCCCTACTGAAGGCTGTAGTCTTTGATCTTCATCAATAAGTGCTTCAAATCCTCTTCGCTTTCAGCAAGCAAAGTTGTGTCATCTGCATATCACAGGTTGTTGATGAGTCTTCCTCCAATCCTGATGCCTTGTTCTTCTTCATATATCCAACTTCTTGCATTATTTGCTCAGCATACAGATTGAATAAATATGCTGAAAGGATACAACCCTGATGCACACCTTTTCTGATTTGAAACCACACAGTATCCCCTTGTTCTGTTCCGACGACTGCCTCTTAGTCTATGAACAGGTTCCACATGTACACAATTAAGTGTTCTGGAATTCCCATTCTTTGCAATGTTATTCATAATTTGTTATGATCCACACAGTCGAGTGCCTTTGCATGGTCAATAAAACCAGAATCTTTCTGGTATTCCCTGCTTTCAGCCATAAGTCATCTGACATTAGCAATGCTATCCCTTGTTGCACATCCTCTTTTGAATCTGGCTTGAATTTCTGGCAGTTCCCTGTAGATGTACTGCTGCAACCGTTTTTGAGTGATCTTCAGCAAAATTTTACTTGCGTGTGATATTAATGATATTGTTCAATAATTTCCACATTCTGTTAGATAACCTTTCTTTGGAATGGTCACAAACCTTTCTTCCAGTTGGTTGGCCAGGTAGCTATTTTTCAAATTTTTTGCCATAGACTGAGCGATTCCAGCCTTGCATCTGTTTGTTGCAACATCTCAATTGGTATTCAGTCAACCTGGAGTCTTGTTTTTTGCCCATGCCTTCAGTGCAGCTTGGACTCCTTCCTTCAGTATCATCAGTTCTTGATCATATGCTACCTCCTGAAATGGTTGAACATTGACCAATTCATTTTGATAGTGACTCTCTGTTCTTTCCATCTTCTTTTAAGGCTTTCTGCATTGTTCAATATTTTGCCCATAGAATCCTTCAGTATTGCAACTTGAGGCTTGAATTTTTACTTCCATTCCTTCAGCTTGAGAAATGCCGAGCATGTTCTTTCCTTTTGGTTTTCTAACTCTAGGTCTTTGCACATTTCATTATAATACTTCGTCTTCTTGAGCTGCCCTTTGAAATCTTCTGTTCAGCTCTTTTACTTCATTATTTTCTTCCATTTACTTTAGCTATTCTACATTCAAGAGCAAGTTTTAGAGTCTCTTCTGACATCCATTTAGGTCCTTTCTTTCCTGTGTTTTTCATGACCATTTGCTCTCTTCATGTATTGTGTGCTTGATGTCATCCCATAACTTGTCTGGTCTTTGATCATTAGTGTTCAGTATGTCAAATCTGTTCTTGAGATGGTCTCTAAATTCAGATGAGATACACTCAGGTTTGTACTTTGGCTCTCGTGGACTTGTTTTAATTTTCTTCAGCTTCGACCTGAACTTGCATACGAGTAATTGATGGTCTGTTCTGTAGTCAGCCCCTAGCCTTGTCCTGACTGATGATATTGAGCTTCTCTGTTGTCTGTTTCCACTGATGTAGTTAATTTGCTTCCTGTGTATTCCATTCCTGTGTTTTCCATCTGGTGAGGTCCATGTGTATAGTCACTGTTTATGTTGTTGAAAAAGGGTACTTCCAATGAATATGCCATGGGTCTGCAAAATTCTGTCATGTGATGTTTGGTGTCTTTTCTATCACCAAGACCATATATTCCAGCTACTGGTCCTTCTTGTTTCCAGCTTTTGCATTTCAATCACCAGTAATTATCAATGCATCTTGATTGCATGTTTGATCAATTTTATACTAGGAGTTGGTTAAAACTTCTATTTCTTCATCTTTGGCATTAGTGATTGGTACGTCAATTTGAATAATAGTCTTATTAACTGGTCTTTCTTGGAGGCATATGGATATTTTCCTATTACTGATAGCACTGTACTTCGGGATAGATCTTGAAATGTTCTTTTTGACGATGAATGCGATACCGTTCCTCTTCAATTTGTCATTCTCAGCATAACAGACCATATGATTGTGTGATTCAAAATGGCCGATAACAGTCCACTTAAGCTCAGTAATGCCTAGGATATCGATATTCAAGTGTTCCATTTCATTTTTGATGACTTCCAGTTTTCCTAGATTCATACTTTGTACATTCCATGTTCTGATTATTAATGGATATTTGCAGCTGTTTCTTCTCATTTTGAGTTGTGCCACATCAGCAAATGAAGGTCCTGAAAGCTTTACTCCATCCACATCATTAAGGTTGACTCTACTTTGAGGAGGCAGCTCTTCCCCAGTCGTATTTTGAATGCCTTCCAACCTGAGGGGCTGATCTTCTGGCACTATATCTGACAATGTTTTGCTGTTATTCATAAGGTTTTTACTGGCAAACTTTTAAGAAGTAGATCGCCTTAGTCTGGAAGCTCCGGTGAAATATGTCCACCTTAGTGACCCTGATATTATTTGAAATACTGGTGGCATAGCTTCCAGAATTAGAGCGACACTCAAGCTACCACAGTACAACAAACTGACAGATGAGTGGTGGGGGCAAGCTCTAGACCCTGCTTTTTCCAGCCCCAAACCAGTCCAGTCAGGCACACAGGATTTCCAAGCTGCTTTGGAAGACCCACAATCTTCAAACTGAAAAAGGCAAATTTCTCTGAATAGCACCTAGTTTCTGCCTGAGGATGGAAGGGAGGGGGCCCACTGCTGCAAACAAACCTGGGGCTCCTGTCTCCCTCTGCCCTGGCCAAACCAGGCTGGCTCACAGCTGCTCCCAAGCGCCAAGTGCAGAGGTGTGGCTGCATGGCTTAGCTCCTTGGGCCACTGAGTGCACCCTCCCTGAGGACCTTTCCTGAACTGTTGCCTTCAAGTGAGGAGGACACACCCTCCCTAGAGTCCATCCCAGTAGGAAAGTGGTTTGCAGTAGACATGGTGCCTTTCCCTCCTGCCTACCTGCTCTGATCTGGCTGTGTGCATTGAAAGATGAGCTGATCCGCGAGGTCACCATCAACTGTGCTGAGCGGGGGCTGCTGCTGCTTCGAGTCCGGGACGAGATCCGCATGACCATTGCTGCCTACCAGACCTTGTACGAGAGCAGTGTGGCGTTCGGCATGAGAAAGGCGCTGCAGGCCGAGCAGGGGAAGTCAGACATGGAGAGGAAAGTGAGTGGGGTTCACCAGTAGCCCTTGAACTTCTGTGACTTGTCAATTTCAGGGCTACATGGTCACCATCCCAGCCCTAAGTTCTGTCCTAGGGTGCTTTCTTGACGTTCATGACCCTTGGACCTGCATCAGCTCAGGGAGGACCCCTTGGTGTAATACAATGGCCCCCGTGGTCATAGCAGTTGAATCTTCCGACGTTCCATGCTGGTTACTGATGTCCCACTGGGTGGCAGTACAGACCCTGGCAATGTCTTGGGTTGGACGGCTGTGCTCCAGGTCCCCTAACCCAGGCACTCACACCACCCTGTCCACTTGGCAACATCCCAGGATGACTGGGGCTCTCTGTCCTCAGATTGCAGAATTAGAAACTGAAAAGAGAGATTTGGAGAGGCAAGTGAATGAGCAGAAGGCAAAATGTGAGGCCATCGAGAAGCGGGAGAATGAGAGGCGACAGGTGGAGGAGAAGAAGCACAATGAGGAGATTCAATTCCTAAAGCGGACGAATCAGCAGCTGAAGGTAATCAATGCTCAGGTCCAGGTGAAAAGTGCTTCTTCCTACCGACCCCCTTACCCCCTCCCCCCATGCAGGCCAAGCAGTGGGTTCCTTTTCCCCCAGATGGCTTTTAAATATTTGTCCACACGTGCTGCCAAGGAGTAGAGGAAGCTTTTTTGAGAGGAGGGAGGTTAGGATTCATTACCCACCTTCTCCATTCATCTGGCTGTAGATGGGGGCTCTTGTGTCACTCTGAATTCCCATGGAACGTCAGCTTAGCTCTCCAGTGGAGGATTTTTTCCTTGGAAAAAAAGTTGCCCATCCTCAGGGCAAAAGAAGTGGCTCTTCTTCCCCTTCACGGCTGGTATTTTGGTCTTCCTTGAGCGGGCTGGATCTCCCCAGCAGGCTTTTGTGGAAGTGACTTCCTGCTGCCAGTCCCTCTAGGGCACTGGGCTTGGGGCTTAAGCTGGGAGAAATAAAAAATTGTTGGGCAGGCAGGGAAGGCCCTTTGAGAGGGAGGAACCATTTCAAGTCAGAAACTTTTGCCAGATGTGTGGTCAGAGAAACCCTATTGCCAATGGCTTATTTTGATTCAACTGAGGTGATGGGAGGGAGGGGGATTGGTGAAAAGGGCTGGCAGGAAACCAGGCCACAGGCCCCTGTACCTCCAGGCTGTCTGGTTCAAAGGTTCTCAAAGGATGGACCCCAGACCAGCATTCTCATCATCACCTGGCAACTTTTAGAAATACATTCTTGAGCCTGTGCCAAGAATTCAGAAACGTTGGGTTTGAGGCCCAGCAATCTGTTTTAACAAGGCCTCTAGGTGATTCTGATGCTCACTGAAGTTTGAGAATCACTGTTCCAGATATGAACTCTATTGACATTCACTGGCTTGTTCCCATGGCCCTGGCCAGGGGAGCCCCTGGATGTCTCTCCCACCCCTCACTGCTGAAGACCCAGGCCTGTGGAAAGCTTACATTCTTGATATTGGCATGCTTTTTGGCTCTAAAACCAAGAAGGTAGAGTATTTGAGATAAAGAAGGATTTGTATTAACTGCTAGAAGATGACAGATTTTTTTGTTGCTGAGAAGTTAACAGAAACTAATCTTCATAGTCAGATGCAAATCTGTTTACTTAGCAGCCTCTGAAGCTGCTTCCCTTATCTGCCATAGTCCTTTGTCATAAGCCCCCAAGTTCCTCAGTTCCTCCTCTTGTATTAGTGGCAACAGCAAAGCAGAGTACCTTAGCATCCTTCTAACATTTACAAGCAGCCTTATAATCCCCAGGGTAAAGGATGCTTTAGAAGTGAGTTACTTTTATTGGCTCAAAGCTGCACTGCAAATAAAGCAGTGTTTGCAGTCTCCAGCATAGACCACCTACTTAAAGATCTGTCTACACACTAGGATAGTAAATTATTTTCCTGGCTGCTAGAGGAACAGAGTAAATAACTCCCAAGTGTTTTAAGCTTTACATACAAGATGGACAGCTCCCTACTCACTGGTAGCAGTTTTCTCTAATTGGGTGTCAAGTTGTCTCAGTGACTGAAAATTTGCTGTTTCTCAAATCTCTTGTTCCAGCACAGAGCTCCCAGGATCCCAAACCAAACTTAGCAGACATATTCAGGCCTGAAATCTGAGCCATGAAAAACCACTATTTCAATGACTTTTATTCAATTTCCTTTTCAGTGCTTTATATTATACACTGAGTTGTTTTTGTATGGAAACCAGGGTTTCTCCTAATGTAGTAAGATGGTACGCCAAGCCAGAAACCAGCTAATCTAGAAAATATGGAGGTGGGAATGAAGGAAAACAAAACAAAAAACCCTTGGAGGGGCAGCATTTGGATTATCCTTCCCAAAGACTTTTATCACCTCTCAGCTATTTGTGTTAGGCTTCAAATTGCAAATATTAATGGAGTTTGTTTTTGTTTTTCAGGCCCAACTGGAAGGCATCATTGCTCCAAAGAAGTGATAATTTCCATATGGGTCTCAACAAGCTCTACTACACCATCATAAGTCCTTTGTAATAAAAAGCTGGTTTCATGAGTGAACAAGCCATACCCGCCTCCGCTCACCACCCTGTTTCTGTCACATTTACATGATAGGCTTACATTTTTGAGGAACTAAGGGGGCTAATTCAAGTGTATGTGCTAGTGGACTCCTGGGGAGGAAGGCAGCTTTACCTTCACTTTCACTAGCACTGGCGAATGGCTTCAACTGTCAAACCTCAGAACAAATGCATTAATGGTCTTAGAAATGCCAAGCCAACGGTGTATGAAGAAAATGAACACAATTCTCTACTTGCATATTTTTGTATCATTTGATAAACAACTTTTTGAATGTTACTGCTTGTTATGCTTGAATTTTCTGTGTTTGTGTTTCTGCCCCTCTGAGTCACTGGTCTTCTTTTTGTTCCTGTTCCTGTTTTTCACATTGTGGGTTTCATAGTAGCGCACACCAACTCTTCTGGACTGCTGCTGCCGTGCTGCTCGCCTCCGCTGTAAACAAACGGCAAAAAAGAACAAAAAAACAAAGCCAGTCAAACACTGCAAGTTATGAACAGGCTCCTGTGTTTCTCATCCCTGTGTTCCATTTCTCATGCTGCTTCCACAGCTACTGGAAACAGTGCAAACACCTCCTAGACCTAAGTTTACCTTTCAGTAAACTCCAAGGTACAGATCTTATTTGGTCCAACCCTCATCCAGTGCTTGAATGCTTTCTACAACATTCCTACAAGTGGTCCTCTAGGCTAAGGCTGAACACTTCCATTAACAAACCACTTCCCCTGAGGGCCCACTCCAACTCAGAACTTTAGTTCCAGTAACCAAGCTGTTCTTAACAAATCGGTGATCTGTCTGCTTATATATTTCTGCCCCTTTGGGTGTCATTTCCCTGGGACCACACAAACTGACTCTTGTAGATGATAGGCCACATATTTGAAGATTGTGAACATGAGCTCCAAAAACAAAGACATGAGCTCAAGGACCTTCCCCCAGGGAGCCATCTCTTGATCCTCATTTAACTGATCAATTAAATCACTCAGGACTAGGGTTTCTGGGATTCAGTTCTAGACCATTAGCTTAAGAGTGGGTCTTGAGAACTGATTTCTCTCTGCTTTCTATACCTGGGTGGAGCATAAGGTGGAAAACACTTACTTCCTTAGATGTAAGCATCCTGCAAGTTTTATTTGAATGTTCCTCTTCTCTCTGTGCCTTTCTCTTCTTTCCCTTCTTGGCAGGTGCTAGAAACATACAAATTTTACACACAGAAAAGAAACAGGAGTTTTCAGTTCAAGATCTATCTGCAGACCTGCTCTGGGATTATAAGGTTAATAATGGTATCCCTTTTAAGAAGAAGTGTCCTCGAATCGACAATTTAATCCCAAGAAATGTACAGGATGAAAAGTGGACAATCCAATTTGTATGATACATAGTATGTGGTTCCAGGGTAATCTGCCAATATGATAAATATCTGTGCGGATACTGATAGTAGAAAAGATAATATAGAGATTAAACTTAGATTTTACAAAGTTCTAAAGATGCATAGTGATTTAAATGATTGTTACCTTTATCCTCTACATCTTCCTGTTCTTCAGATTTTGCAAAGACCTTTTCACTTAGCCCCTTGGATATTCTGCAACAGAAAAGCAAAGTAAGGAAGGTGCCCAACACTCCCCTCAACCGCCCAAATCACGTGCTGTTGTGGAGACAGGCAACAACCTGGTTGGTTAAAGAACCCCACTTCTCTTTACACAGTGATCCCCCACTGACAGAAGTCAATGCCCCAGTGTCTACAGCTCCAAGGGCATTTCTAAAAATTGAGCAGCTAAGCTTATTGTATTTCAGACAGCTTCATTTTACAAAACTTACAGACTACAGGCAGTCCCCCAAGTTATGAATGTCCAACTTACCGACAACTCGTTCTTGCCTTTTAAATGTTATGTAAATTTGTCCTCACTTGGAAATGACTGAACCAACCCCTACTCGCAACAAATTCATCACAATCACCTTCACTTGCTACACCTGCAGCTTTTAAATCACTGAAAAATCTTCGAGCCTTTTCTTGCACTAAAGTAAAGCTAAATAAGAATTGTACGCACCTGTTCCAACTTACCTACAATTTTTTAAAGATAAACTTAGGAACATTATCTCGTGGGTCTCGTTTGTAACCCGGGGACTGCCTATATTCTCTTTTAAGAAGGCAATAACCCCCCCTGTAAATACTGCTCCAGGAGCCCTGGTGGTGCAATGGTTAAGTGCTCGGCTGCTAACTGAAAGGTCTGCGGTTCGAACTTTGCGGGAGAAAAGATCTGCTCCTGCAAAGATTACAGCCTAGGAAAACCTATGGGGCAGTTCTACTCTGTCGTATAGGGTCACTAAGAGTCCAAATTGACTCGGTGGCACTCAACAACAACAAACACTGCTCCAACACTCATGTCAGGTTTCTGGGAAAGGAAGGAACAAACTTCAATTCACGAAAAAATTAAAACCCTACCTGACTGCTGAAAACTTTTTAGCTTTGGCTTTGTTTAGAAACTTCTGATATTTAGCAATCTTTTCGTCCAGGGCTTTAATAACTGCTTTGGTGTCGTTTTCCACATGTTCTTCCTGGGACTCCCGGCAAGACTCTTCCTCCTCGTCCCCTTGCTGCTCCTGTTCTTCCTCCTCTTCTTCAGAAAAGCTCTCAGGTTCTTCATCAATATCTGACATCTCCAAAGGAACCAGGTCATCCCCAGAGAACTGAGGCGCAACATTGATTTTGCCGAAGTTCTGCCGAACCCGTGCAAGGATCTGTTGCATTTCCGAGTTAGCATCACAGGGATCGTTCTCTCCTTTTTCCTTCTCAATGACAGATTCTGACTCTTCACCTACAGTGCCCGTGTGTTGCTCTTCTAGGTTGTTCTGGGTTGTTTCTGTGGCAACTTCCAAAGACGAGGAGGAGGAGGATGGAAGCTATTAAGGCCAAAAAGAGGGCAAGAGAAGGGAGAAAAGGGATCAGAAAATGAAAACTGAATTTCTAAACTCCTCTCTTGCTCTCAGATGAAGTATTCCTCTTCTTAGGACTAAGGGAAAGTACAGAAAATAGCCACATTGGAGTCATTTCATTAAACTATTCTAAGTCAATGTGCATTAAATTCAGTATTAAAGGATCAAGGACTATAACTACAGTTCCAAAGGATGAGCCAACTATAATATAGTATTTGACCGTTAAAAACCAATCAACTATTTAGTGTAGACAGGTGTCATGGATTGAATTGTGTCCCCCCCCCAAAAATGTGTGTATCAATTTGGCTAGGCCATGATTCCCAGTGTTGTGCGGTTGTCCTCTATTCTGTGATTGTAATTTTATGTTAAAGAGGATTAGGGTGGGATTGTAACACC